ACTGAGTTCCTGTTTCAATTATCATGTCATCTGGTGTATCGCTTTTTGAAGACCATAGTAATCAGTTTCAGTCTGCTTAGGAAAACTTAGGAAAGAAATTGGAGCTTGAGCGAAATTACATACCCTGTTTATAACAAGAAGCTTGAAAAACCATACCCTGTTTAGCAGATCATCCCCGTATAGTCTATATATGGGAGTACCACCCCCCCCCCCCCCCCCCCCCCCCCCGGGCATAAAATAGACATAATTCAGTGTGGTGCAATGTTTTCCCATTACAAACCACATGTTATTCACTAGAGTCAGATTCTTTGTTTTATAATCACTGGTATCATATTCGTCTGTCTTCTCATGTGCAACCGCTAAACGAAAAAATGATACTCTAGGAAATGACACGTGGTCTGTGTTGGGAAAACATTGCACCATGACGTAATGAAAAACACAAATACGTGATTTTTTTTAAGACTCAAGTCATAAATCAATTCCAACTACGAGCCAATCATCATCATTAGGAACACAAAACTTCCTAAATCGATACTGTACTATTCTTGGATGTCGAATGTGAACAATCTTCACATTGCCAACGACCTGTGTGGCCTAGTCTTGATCTTTAGGATGACATACAAACGTCACATCTATTTCCACTTGTTTCTTCTGCTCTTCCGTAAAACCAAGCTGGATTTTCTTAATCTTAGCCATAATTATATCAACAGCTCGAATAGCTGGTCCAGGATCTTTGGATTTTAGTGCTTCTTGGATCAAATCCACAAATTTTGGGGGGCAAATTTTGGACATGTCTTGGAAGCGTCGCTCTGCGAGGATTTCTGATGTGACTATAAGAGCTTGTTTTGCGCCACGAAGGAACTCTTCTTCGTTGAATCCCGGATCAAAAAATGCTTTTAATAGAACCATATGAAGCTTTTTTGAGAGCCAACCAAAAGGGCCTTGAGTAATAACCGTTCCTACAGTTCCTTTTATCTGTCCTTTGTCCTCATTTTCGAGGTTTTCTTTTTCGTTCCGTCCTGAATTTTGCTCATTTTCGGGACTATTTGAGCTAAATTCTCTTCTTTTAAAAACAGATAAGTAAGGCAGAGTAGCTTTAAGTTGAAAAACTCTTGTTTTGTTGGTTAGCTGACGAGAAAAATAGAAGTTTATAACTGTGTTTTTTCTCAATAAAACTTGAACAAAACGCGCCGCCATTTTGAACTAATAGCTACACAGGAAGCCCAACATTAATTTTGTACACAAGGAAAAATTAATAATTACCTATTATTAATACTATCCACGTCAAAAAAGACAGCATCCAAATAATATACATTTTAACATCCATTCGTATGTTTACAGTTTATATTCATTTTGTTCAACTCATTTAAAGACAAGATTGACGAAATCTTAAATGTATGAATTGGGTTTCCTGTGTTTACGAAATATCTCAAAATAGAACAACATAGCGCTACTCTGTAGGGGTACCCTAACTAACAAAAAAGATTAACTTAAGATTAACCTTTTTTAAATCTATATTACTCTAATATTGCTTCAATATTGCTTTAAGAACTTAAATCTTTACTTAAAAAACATAGAATTAATAACTTAGAAGTAAATTATGATTTCTATTTGAATGTAAATATTTATATGCATTTGAGTTTCCCTACCCCTCCCCAACTAAGTTATAAGTTGATCACAAGATTTTAGAGTCTCGTGATAGCAATGAAAGCTGAAAGAGAAGCGAGGACTCTTGGAGGTAAGTTAAACCGTATTTCCACGTTCGTAATAAATAGATATCTTTATTAACGTAATGTCTTACAAATGCTGCATTATCTTCCTGCTTGAACGACTGATTTTGCTATAAACTGTGACTATAAGAGAATTTCACTAATTTTTTGACGCACAGTGATATAAATTTACTCATTTTATTTACTTTTTGCTTCATTTATTTCCGCTCACTGCTATAAACGGTTGCTGAGACGCATATAACGTAGCTCATAGATTTATTTAGCTCAAATACTTTGCTATAAAGGGAAGGCATTCTGTTATTGAAAGTCGCCGAGGAAGACATTTAACGCGGAAAGCGAAAAAAATTCAAATTAGTTTGCAYATAAGTAAATCCATAGGAAACCCACATTTTATTAGTCTTCAGAGATAATTCACTTGTAACCCCTTGTGCTACTGTATATATTGCTTTTAAGCCTCTTGCTCGTACTTACCAAAAGGCGTAATGAGCTACAATGAGCTACAATGAGTTACAATGAGCTACAATGATCTACAATGAGCTATCAAATGATCTTCAATGACCTACAATGAGCTACATATGATCTACAATGAGCTACATATGATCTACAATGAGCTGTCAAATGATCTTCAATGAACTACAATGAGCTAGAAAGAGAACTATAGAAAGAAAACGAGCTACTACAAACTACATTGAACCTACATAATATAACTCAAAACTATTGATATTTAATCAAAATAAACCAATAAAGTCACCTTCCACTTAAATTGTGTACTTACTGCATTTAAATTGTGCACTTTCTGAAGGAAAATGGTAGTAATATTCGCTGTTTTTTATAGTTTAACAGTCCTTGCACTTCAAGACAGCGAATATTATTATTTTCATTCAACCATTTACCGCTGCCAAAATTTTGTGTTTGTTTACGTTTGAAACGAGACATTTTGTCTGTGAAACGTTTAGCTTTTGCCAATGAAATCAACACGTTTGGGCAGTAAACCAATCAGGTTTTGCTATTGTTGAAGGCATGTTTTGCAAAATACTGTGAAATGAAATCAACACGTTTGGGCAGTAAACCAATCAGGTTTTGCTATTGTTGAAGGCATGCTTTGCAAAATACTGTGAAATGAAATCAACACGTTTGGGCAGTAAACCAATCAGGTTTTGCTATTGTTGAAGGCATGTTTTGCAAAATACTGTACTCCTAGAAGGCATCGATCAAAGCCTTCAACAATAGCAAAACCTCATTGGTTTACTGCCCAAATGTGTGTTTATAGTAGCTCGTTTTTGCTCTTTAGTTCTCTTTCTAGTTCATTGTAGGTCATTGAAGATCATTTGGTAGCTCATTGTAGCTCATTGTAGCTCATTGTAGGTCATTGTAGCTCATTGCACCTTTTAGTAAGTACAGCCTCTTGCGTCAGACAACCCTAGTGTGGTCAGGCATAAAAATTATCTTTTTTAATGGTTGTTTTGCTTATATTTCTATTTCCTTGTTAAGCTGAATGCCCCAGGAAATATAATTAATATTAATTTACCTTTCTTTTTGCTAGGGATTTACTATATTAAGTGAAAAAGTGTTAATGGCTTACCTCAAATTAGCATAGTGTGGATACGTTATCCTGTTTCGAATAATTCAAAAGCAAAGAAGAGACTTCAAAGTATAGCTGACCGAAGTTGACAATCATGGGTCAATCTAGACAGTTTTGCCTCCTGTTTTGGAAAAACTGGGCCCTTGCCAAGCGTTCACCTGTGCGAACATTTTTTGAGATTGCAGTTCCACTATTCTTCATTCTAATACTTGTTATTTTGAGGGCATTTGTGATAAAGAATGAGCAAGAACCTCCCATAAAGTACAAACAGTTTACAGTTAACCAGTTACCTGAAGGACTAATAGGAGAAAACTTTAACCTTGCTTATGGACCAAACACCACTGATGTAAATGAAGTTATGAGTAAAGTAGATTTTAAAACATTGGGATTTAATAAGAGTAAAGGTTTTGGAAATGAGAACGAAATGGTAGATTTTCTTCTTGAAGACAATGACATTGCATCAGAATTTCTTGGTGGAGTTTATTTTGAAAGTACGCCAGAGCAAAACAACGTTGTTTACAAGCTTCGACTGAACTCAAGAGCAAGAAATAGTAAAACCAAAATTAAAGCTTTTGGGAGCGACCCTTCAAATTCTTGGAACACACAGTTAACTTTCAATTCATTTCAAATTCCTGGTCCGAGGAACAAGAATGCAACCCATGGTGGACCACCTGATTACTATGATGAAGGATTCCTTGCATTACAGAATGCCATCGATATGGCTATTCTTAGATACAGGGACAAGAATTCAAGTGCCCAGAGTATTGCCATAAAGATGCAGAGGTTTCCTTATCCTGCATACATCAAAGACAGCTTCATCCTTGTAATACAACAAACTTTGCCTCTCTTCCTCATATTATCCTTGGTCTTTACAGCCTTGTGTATTGTGCGTGACATTGTGCATGAAAAAGAAAGAAAATTAAAGGTATGGAAAACAGATAACAAACTAAACTGTAGAATACGTTTTTATTTTCTAATGTATCTTAATTAATACCATTTTTGTTGAAGTTTGACCCACAAAGTTTGCAGTCTGCTTCTCCAACTAGCATTTTTTAACTAGATTTTAAACATTTATGAAGGAAGGAAGGAGGGAAGGAAGGGAGGAAGGAAGGGAGGAAGGGAGGAAGGAAGGAGGGAGGGAGGGAAGGGACGAAGGAAGAAAGAAGGGAAGGAACGGAGGAACGGAGGAAGGAAGGAAGGAAGGAAGGAAGGAAGGGAGGGAGGGAGGGAGGAAGAAAGGAAGGAAGAAGGGAAAAAGGGAGGGAGGAAGGGAGGAAGGAAGGAAGGAATGAATAAGGGAGAGATCTACATAACAACTTATATGACATACTTACATGTGATGGTAAGTCCAGGAATCCAGATAGCCATCTGATCGACTAAGGAAAACAGGGCTTCTGCTAAGTTCTTTCTTTATTACAGGAATCAATGAAGATGATGGGTTTGGCTGGTTGGATGCACTGGCTTGCATGGTTTGCCAAATACCTTCTCATTCTCCTCGTCGCTGTTGTCTTTGCAAGTGTCCTCTTTACGATCAAGTTTTCTTCCAATGGCAAAGTCCTCAACCAAAGTTCTCCAACTCTAATCTTCGTATTCCTTCTCCTTTATTCTATCTCGTCCATAATGTTTTGTTTCCTTGTCAGCGTGTTTTTTTCCAAAGCTAACGTCGCTGCTGTTGCTGGTGGGTTCCTTTGGTTCCTTTCCTACACTCCTTACAACTTCATTGCGCAAAGCTACGACACAATGTCTCTGGGACTTAAAATAGCATCCTGCCTGCTTTCCAACTGTTGTATGAGCATCGGGTCTTTATTGATTGGCAAGTTTGAAGGTCGTGGAACTGGTGTCCAGTGGTCAAATATTTACGAAGGAGTATCAGTAGATGATGATATGACTCTAGGATATGTGCTGTTGATGTATATCGCAGATATATTGCTCTATGGAATTATTACCTGGTATATAGAAGCAGTATTCCCAGGAGAATATGGAACTCCTCAACCGTGGTATTTTCCCTGTACGTCTAGATACTGGTGTGGTGTAAATAAACAGGTAAAACTGCTCTCTGTTGCTATGACTTCTGCTGCAGGTATTTTCAAAGGACACCTCTTTCTACAATGTAGAACTTTTTGACGGTTATTTCAAAAATCCGCTTGACAAAAATGCATCATCACATCATCAAAGTAGCTATGCCGCGTAGATCTGCACTCTACTTTGACCTATGTGATGACGAAATTTCTCGTCAATAAGAGGATAGACAAAAAACTGTTGTCAATTTTTTTATTTTTTTACAATTTAGCAAACAAAAAAAACTATAAAAACTTCTCCTTTTTAGCAATCAAAACAACAAACGGAAAAAGTGTGGTTATTTGAAGTTAGCTTATTTGTCTGTCCGTTTATTCATGATTTCGTTTATTATCTTTCCTTTCAAGCTTGATGCAGAGTCTAATGGTGTGGTTTCAAATGGTGTAGTTTCGTCAGAGTTTCTGGAGAAGGACCCCTCAGGACTACACGCGGGAATAAAGGTCCAGAATATCAAGAAGTCGTTTTCTACTGAAAAAGGTAACTACTATTGTTCGTTTTGAGTTGAAATCTTTGCCTGCTTGCCTGCTTGCCTGCTTGCCTGCTTGCCTGCTTGCCTGCTTGCCTGCTTGCATGGTTTAGACTATTATCTTCTAACATTTTTTCCATATCCTGCTGCTTTGTTTTTGAAAGTTTTCCGTTTNCTGCTTGCCTGCTTGCCTGCTTGCCTGCTTGCCTGCTTGCCTGCCTGCCTGCCTGCCTGCTTACTTACTTATTGCCCCACTTGCTTACTAGGAGAAAAAGTTGCAGTAGACGGTGTTAACCTCAACATGTACCAAGGTCAGATCACAGCTCTTCTTGGTCACAATGGAGCAGGCAAGACAACACTGATGTCGATGCTCACTGGACTCTTTTCGCCGACTTCAGGAACAGCACTTGTCAATGACTGTAACATCATTGACAACATGGCTGGCGCACGAAGTAGTTTAGGTCAGTGATTTAGGGAGTACCATACAGTTTGCGAGGGTTTGGGGATGGGAGAGAATGGCTCTTTATCCACAGAAACCCAATTGTAATTTAAAAGTTGATTTTTGCTGAGGGAAGAAAACCAGAAGACCTGGTGAAAAAACCTTGAAGTGCAGGAGAGAACCAACAAACAAATCTGCTCACGTACTTTATGACACCGAGCTCGAGAGTTGAACCCGTGTGGTATGGGGGAAGGTCGAAAGTGCATGCCACAACGCCACCAGCGCTTCCACTATGAGGGCTTGTATGGATAGGGGAATGGGAAAACCAAAGTATGAGAGACCTATGTCCGTCCCTGGGCTTTATCTGAAAACAATATATTGAGGATATTACACGGTGGCGCGAAAATATGAAGTTTATTTTCGAGTGGTGAGATGATTTCAGGAGTGAACGCAGCGAATGAGTGAAATATTTTTCAACACTTCATACCTTCAAGCCAACACGTAATTTTCTTTTTGTGATATAGTCACATTCACAAACAAAAGCTTGTTGAAAACATTGAAAAAGACGTCATCGATACCTTCACTAGTAAGGAGATGGAAAAATATGTCACTGAGGTCCCGGATGTAGTTCGTATCAAAAATACGAGTGGCGTATTTCCCAGTCTATATAGTAATATACGATATATGTGCTGTTTTCATTTTTAGGTCTTTGCCCTCAGCATGACGTGCTGTTTGATCGTCTGACGGTGGAAGAACACTTGTGGTTTTTTGCTATGCTCAAAGGCTGTCCACGAAGAAGGGTGCAGTCTGAGATCGATAAAATGATAGACAGTGTTGGTCTGTCAGATAAACGACACGTGCAAACTAGAGCTCTTTCTGGTGGCATGAAGAGGAAGCTATCGGTGGGAATTGCTCTTATAAGTGGCTCCAAGGTGAATTTGAGTTGCTTGCTTGCTTGCTTGCTTGCTTGCTTGCTTGCTTGCTTGCTTGCTTGCTTGCTTGCTTGCTTGCTTGCTTGCTTGCTT